AACAAAATGTCTAGAAATTCTGCAGGTGCATATATATCCATATAGGTAGTTATTTTGGGACAAAGAAGGCAAAATAACTACCAATATGAATAGGATAGTTAAAATAGCGGAGGAATTTTACAGAGATCTGCGCAGTAGCCGGAATAACCACGACTTTAATACTATAAGAACAAGCAGTAACCCAGATGTCACCCCACCAGTAATGATAGAAAAAGTCAGAAAAGCTTTGGAGAGCATGCAAAGAGGCAAAGCTGCTGGTGAGGATCAGGTAACGTGAGATCTGCTGAAAGATGGAGGACAGATTGAGTTAGAAAAACTAGCCACCCTGTTTACGAGATGTCTCCTGACGGGAAAAGTACCAGAGTCTTGGAAGAGCGCTAGCATCATCTTAATACATAAGAAAGGAGATGACAAGGACTTAAAGAAATACAGGCCAATCAGCTTGCTCTTTGTAGTATACAAGCTATTTACAAAGGTAATTGCTAACAGAGTAAAGAAAACATTAGAATACAGTCAACCAAAGGAACAAGCAGGATTCCGAACAGGCTACTCAACAATCGACCACATTCATACTATCAATCTGTTAATAGAGAAATGCTCAGAAAATAACCAACCAAAATACATAGTCTTCATAGATTACGGGAAGGCGTTTGATTCAGTAGAAATATCAGCCGTCATGCAGACACTGCGGAATCAGGGCGTCGATGAAGTATATATAAACATTCTGGAAGAAATCTACAGGGGATCAACTGCTACCATAGTGCTTCATAAAGAAAGCAACAGAATACTAATCAAGAAGGCTGTAAGGCAGGGGGACACAATTTCTCCGATGCTATTTACGGCGTGCTTACAGGAGGTTTTAAGAAGCCTACAATGGGAACAGTTAGGGATAAGAGTTAATGGAGAGTACCTTAGTAACCTGCGCTTTGCCGATGACATTGCATTGCTGAGTAACTCAGGGGACGAATCGCAAAACATGATTACGGAGTTAGAAAAGGAGAGCAGAAAGGTGGGTCTTAAACTTAATCTGCAGAAAACGAAAGTAATGTACAACAACCCCAGAAAAGAGCAGCGCTTCGAGAATGCTAATAGTGCACTTCAAGTTGTAAAAGACTATGTCTATTGAGGGCAGGTAATAACCGCGGAGCCAAACCACGAGATTGAAGTAACTAGAAGAATAAACATGTGGTGGAGCACATTCGGCAAGCACTCTCAAAGTATGACAGGAAGATTGCCATTATCCCTCAACAGGAAGGTATATGACAGCTGTATCTTGCCGGTACTTAGCTACAGAGCAGAAACCTGGATACTTACAAAAAGGGTTCAGCTTAAATCGAGGACGACGCAGCGAGCAATGGAAAGAAAAGTGATAGGTGTAACCTTAAGAGACCAGAAGAGAGCAGAGTGGATTAGGGGAAAAACGGAGGTTAAGGATATCATAGTGTAAATAAGAAAGAGGAAATGGACATGGGCCGGGTATGTAGCGCGGAGACAGGATAACCGCTGGTCATTAAGGGTAACTAACTGAATTCCCAGAAAGGCAAGCGGGTTAGGGGGAGACAGAAGGTTTGGTGGGCAGATAAGATTAAGAAGTTTGCGGGTATAACTTTGCAGCAGCAAGCACTGGACCGGGTTAACTGGTGGAACATGGGAGGGGCCTTTGTCCTGCAGTGGACGTAGTCAGGGTGATTATGATGATGAAGATGATGATGATGATTATGATATATGCACACGTGTAGCACTTGAGAACTGGCGAACTTTCCAGTTGAAATGATTAAACAGGCAATGCATAAGTCAGAATGGCAGAAAGCAAGTTGATAGATCCTAAGTTGTGATTAGGGTGGTTTGCGCTCGATGTTTGTAAGGTCGTCATGGCTTTTACAGCTTTGAAAACAACTGTATGAGAGAACGAAACGCCAAATGCCTCGTATAAAAATTCCATAAATGAAATTTGATTGCTCTGCTGTAATTGGCTATATTCATGTATTAACGGAAGAAGAAAATTCGATGGCTCGTTTCTCAATGCAAACAAATTCTAAGCAAACTTCAGTGGCTTTGACCGTATCTATCCAGCTATCTAGCCGCCCATGGCTTTTAGCTCTTTTGGCTGTTTCAATAATGGGACCTATAATAAAATGGGCAGGGGATAACATAACTGAATGAAAGGCGTATATGCGACAAGTCAAACGATAAAACCATAATATGTATGTCATAAATGTCATGATTTATATGCCATAGTCTTGCTGCTCTAGTGGTGGTTTTGTTTACATGACGTACTAAAAAACTTGAAGGGTATGATGTGACAGCATGGTGAACATAAGTGTGAGGCCCTAACGTGGAAATCTTGGCCTGCATGTCATGTAAGTCATGACCACAAACCACGCTCATGGTGCACTCGCGTTCGTTTTCGCTTGCTTCACATATGCGAAATTTAATATTACGTGACGTGAATGGATGACGAAGATATATAACTGGTGCCACCATAATAATCATGACATGCGAGTCATGTAAAGCATGACTTCCTGCTACGCTCATGGTGTGCTCGTGGCCGTTTCGCTGGCTCCACATATACCACATTTCATGTTACGTGACGGGAATTCATGACGAGTATGGGAATTGCGCACGCATGATGATAGTGATACGTGCGTCTTGTAAAACAAGACGTTACGCTACGCTCATAGCGCGCTCGCGGCTGTTTCGCTAGCTTGTGGTATACCGAATTTTGCAATACTTGACGCGAATACACAAAGGTAAATGACATGTTCAAACATGATAATCATGACATGCGGGTCATGTAAAACATGACTCCAAGCTACGCTAATAGAGCGCCCATGGCCGTTTCGATAGCTTCAAAATATATCAATTTCGGAATTGCGTGACGTGTTTAGACCACGAACACAAATGCCAGGCGCTAACATAGAACGAGACATGGAATTCATGTACGGCATAACATATCAACGTTCCTCATTCGTGCTTCGCATATTATCGATTTCCACTGTACGTATTTCTCGCCAATTTGTTGTTATGCATCATAATAACAAACGTTAGGAGTCAATGCAGTCAATTAAGGCAATAGCGATGTCAATTGTACTCTTTTAACTCTACTGTACAAAATATATATAACTGCTTATAAACAAAAGCGTATGAAAAGACATTGCACCACCGGCCGAGACCTAACCTGAAACCTTCCGATGAGGCACTGTGTGACAGCGTAAAAGTAGGGGAAATAATTATAAAAATAATTCTTATAATGAAATATTGTGCATTCTCGAAGTTCATTTTAGAGCATATAGGACTCACCCCACTGGATAGGAATGACTGAATGTACTGGAACAATATATCGCACACTTTACTATAAAATCACTATCGATAAATCCTATGCATCTGCTCTACCTAATGGTACTAACACCAGATTTTCATATACCAGCAACACTTTACTTTCCCGCACAAAGACTAATTATAGGAAATTCACAGCTTTTTTCACTGCCATTAAATACTGAAATGTATTTCCGCTATATATATAAAGGATGCCGCGGAGCATTGTGATTCTAGAATTTTAAGATTTTATGACGTTAAAACCAATTGCAAGCACGTTTCATTTATTTATATATATATTGTGTTCCACGTATTTTGATATTTTTTATGTTTAAATTAGTTAGGCTGACGGCAATTTTATCGTTTAAGATAGGCTCTGTACTGTGTGTTCGTAAATTACGTTTTTTGTAAACATTCATCTTTTGCTGGCTCTTTTAGTTATTGTTCTTTTTGTCTATCTGCCCTGCTTTAATATTTTCTCAGATCTTTTTTTTACTCATTTACTGATTTCTGCCATTTTTTGCAATTTATTGATATTGACAAATGACTAATAGGAGGTCGTCCTGACAGTTTTATAACTCAGGGACCTCCTTCTCTACAAATGATCAATAAAGAATTGAATTTATTGAAAATTTATTAGTGCACTTTTCTCAAAGACTAGTGAATATCTTTGTATCACTAAATAAAGAACAATGAGAATGGTCGCTGATTAGGCACTTTCAAACTTTCAGCAGTGGCAGGAGCTGTTGCCGCCACGCATCTTCAGCCTAATATAGTTTTAGTTCTTATCTAAATAGCTTCTAGTGTCTGAGAATAGCGTTGTGGTAAGAGTGCTTCTCACAACCAAAATCAAAACTGAAAGTGAAATCGACAGCGGAAAATAACCGACGAAGACGAAAGTGTGCATGGGGTCAGACGAACGTGAGCGCGTGAGCTTCGGAACAGCGACGGGCAGAGGAAAAACGCGGCCAGCTCGCAAGAGCGCTAGGCGTTGGGTCTCAGGGGACCGAACCAACGAGCGGGTGTCACCAACCCAACCGGGACGAGCGTGGCATGTTCCTGAGGCGAGTGGCGGTTCCGGGCCGGGCCTGACATGCTGTTCCTGTGGCGGACGAGCGTGCGGGCCAGGCAAGCAGCTGATCCTGTCCAGACTCGGGTCCGGCACAACCAGTCACCGAGATCGTGGCCACGGTGCCACGTCGGAGCCGGTCCGGCACAACCACCAATTGAAGGTGCGACCTCAGTGTTGCGTCGGCCGCAGCGTGGGGCCGCCTGGTCCAGCACGAGCAGCTGATGGTCTGCTCGTGAGCTCCCGTGCACTTGGCAACCTTCCCGTGGCGAGGTTGCGTCGTCGACGCCATCGTCTTCAGCGGGAGCGTGAGTGGCACCCGACGGAATTAGACTTCCGAGTAGTGAGGACGCGTGGGTTACCCGCGGGCGCGTAGACATAAGGACTGTATGACTGAATTATGGAGCCAGTGTGTTGTACAGATAGCCACAGTGTTGTGATCGTTTGTGTGTGAAGTCAATAAATGTTTCTCTTGTCCTTGTCTTGGGTTTCTGCGTCTGAGGGCCCAAGAACCACCACAATTGCCGAGCCTGCCAGGATCAGAAGATTCCAGGATCAGAAGATTCCAGTATGGCTTATTAAAATCTAAAGCCATTACTCAGACGCAGCCTTTGTCATGGACAGGGAGAAATGTATTGCACTTGGCCGACAGCTAGGGTTGGAGAACGAGGAGCTCAGAGAGTGGGTTGAGCGAGAGTGCGTTGAAGCTCGAGATGAGCGTGCTAGGGAGCGCGAGATCGCGAAAGAAAACGCTGAGAGGCAGCAGAAGCTGTTAGAGCAGCAGCGGAAGGTGCAGGAACAAGAGCTGAAGATCCTCGAACTGAAGCTTCGACTTCAGGAGAGCGCAAGCAGGGTACAGCCAATGGTGGCTGACGAACAAGGAGGATCCAATATGAGCGCCAGAGGAATAACAGATGTCTGCAGCCCTCATGAACTAATTCCGCCCTTCAGTGAGGCTCGGGACGACCTCGACGCGTACCTGCAGCGATTTGAACGGGTCGCCACGTGTCAAGGGTGGCCGCGTGAAAAGTGGGCTCTTTCGCTTAGCCTATGCAAAACAGGAAGAAGCGCTAACAGTCATAGGCCGGTTAGATCCAACAGCTGTGTTGAATTATGATCAGCTGAAAGCGGCGCTTCTTCAGAGGTTCCGCTATACTGCGGAAGGCTACCGCGAAAAATTTCCTAAAGCGAAGCGCGAAGAAAACGAGACTGGTCTGCAGTATGCTGCAAGACTTTCCGGCTACTGTGACCGTTGGCTTGAAGTGGGAAAAACGGAGACAAGCTTTGCTAGCCTGCGAGATCTGATGATAAGTGAGCAATTCTTGAAGGGTTGTTCTCCGGCACTCAGGATCTTTCTCAAGGAGAGAAGTTGCAAAACCCTGAGTTCGCTTTACGAGACTGCCGATAACTTCATGGAAGCACAGGCGCTCACAAACTTAGGAAGAGAACGGATTCCCAAGGATCCGGGACCTTCGGTGTCCAAGCCGGAGTCCGCGAAGAAGACGGAGAAGCCTGCAAGTCGCTGTTTCCTTTGTGACAAGGCAGGCCATCGCGCAGCCGACTGCTGGTCCCGCACGAAAGGGAATACTTTCAGCCGATGCGGAGTATGCAAACAAAGTGGACACAGCAGTGACAGATGCCCTGGTAGAAAATTTCGCAAAGACCAGGCATCATGCATGCTATCGGAAAAACGCGAAGACTTGACACCTGAACACCATAAGAGTGGCTACATTGTTCTCCAAGACGGCGGAACAATACCCATCGTCAATGCCACATCATGTCGACGATGCGCGAACGTTGGAGTCGCTGACATGCCTGTTGTGGAGGGGCTCCTAGAGGACAGACCAGTGCACGTGCTTCGAGACACCGGCTGCAACACGGTCGTCGTGCGGCAATCCTTGGTTCCGAAGGAGAAGTTCACGGGAACGACGAGCCCAGTGTACTTACTGGACCGTACTGTGCGATACCTCCCAGAGGCAAAAGTCCTTTTGCAATGTACATTGTTTACTGGGGAAGTACTCGTTTAGTGTATGACCGACCCATTATACGACGTAATTTTGGGCAACATCAAGGGCGCGGCATTGCCGGATACGTTATCTATGAATGAGTCAGCACCACAGCATGACCATGGCCATGTGGAAACAAGGCGTGCACCATGGACAGACTCTAGCAAAGGGAATGCTGTCAATGGTGAGCAGGATGTATCTGGCAATTTGCACGCAACCCAACCAAGATCGAATGCGGAGGAAGCGTATGAGCCACCGCATGAAGCCATGGAAAAGTGGCCCCTACCTGAAGAAGTCCTCGTGGGAAAAGCAGGACAAACGAAGAAGCACACCTCTTTACCTGTGATGACTCTGCCTGCTTTACAAGTGGGAAGTGAGGCGCTTAAAAAATATCAAGTGGATGACGAAACTTTGCGAAAGTGTTTCGAGGCGGTTGGCAAGAAAATCATGTCGAACGATCGAGAAACGGTGTTTTTCATTCGGGACGGAACCTTATTCCGCAAGCACAACTTGCCAGATGGAACTAATTTGGAGCAACTTGTAGTACCACGACAGTTGCGTGAGGTGGTGCTGAAACTGGCCCACGAAGGCATCTTAGCCGGCCATCAAGGTATCACGAAGACAGTAAGCAGGGTCACTGGAGAGTTCTACTGGCCGGGTGTCCAATCCGACACAAAACGCTTCGTGAAATCTTGCGACATCTGTCAACGGATGGTGCCACGCCACCTGGTGGGACGCGCTCCCTTGGGCACCACGCCTATCATCGAGACACCGTTTACGAGAGTTGGCATTGATATTATCGGCCCATTGTCACCAACATCTGAAAAGGGCAATCGCTACGTACTGACAATGATAGATTTTGCGACGCGATACCCCGACGCGGTAGTACTTCCCTCCATTGAATCGAGACAAGTTGCGGAAGGTCTCCTGGAAATGTTTTCTCGCGTTGGCATACCTAAAGAGGTCATCAGTGATCGCGGCACGTCTTTCATGTCAGCAGTTTTGAAGGAAATCAGCCGACTGCTTTCATTCAAACAACTGCCTACTACGCCATACCATCCGATGGCCAATGGTTTGATTGAACGTTTTTATGGGACATTAAAACGCATGATAGGGCGAATGTGTCAAGAGCGTCCGAAAACCTGGGACCGTTACATTGGTCCGTTACTGTTCGCCTACCGAGAGCTTCCCCAATGTAGCACTGGATTCTCTCCTTTTGAATTATTATATGGTAGATACGTGCGAGGGCCAATGGCTGTTCTCAAGGAGCTCTGGACGAACCCTCGCCTCGATGACGAGACCAAGACGACATACACGCATATGATGGAGCTGCGGCAACGTTTAGAACGCACCTGTGCGCTTGCACACGAAGAATTGATGAAGGCGAAGAAGCTGCAGAAAGGGTACTACGATAAGAAAGCGAGACAGCGCGAACTTGTCCCTGGTGACCAGGTGCTGGTGTTGTTACCAGCCGATGCTAACAAGCTGGTGCTTTCCTGGAAGGGCCCCTTCCCTGTTATTGAGAAACGCAGCGAACTGGATTACCTAGTAAAGCTGGGCCACAAGGTTACGCTCTTTCACATCAACATGTTAAAGAAGTATGAGGAGTGCAAGCCACTAAGCCAACGAACGGTTGCAGGCGTTACCACGACGTTGCCAAGTGACACAGGCGAGGTTCAGTCCGACGAAGTGCCCCATATCACACTAACAGACACAGGACTGGACGAGTGTTACCATAGCATCGGAGCTCAATACTGATGCACGACAGCAAGCCACAGCGGTTCTTAAAGAATTCAGAGGCGTTTTCTCAGATGTACCTGGGAAGACTGACATTGTTCACTGTGAGTTGAAGCTTACATCAGAGGCTCCCATACAGGTACGACAGTACCCGCTACCTGTTACTGTCAAAGGTGCCGTCGAGGAGGAAGTGAAGGACATGCTGCAGTTAGGTGTCAATGAAAGGTCAACGTCAGCCTATCACTCGCCCATAGTGGTCGTCAAGAAGAAAGATGACACCATGCGTTTGTGTATTGACTTCCGACAACTGAACAAGGTCATACTTCCGGATTGTGAGCCGATCCCTCGCACAGATACGATGTTCGCTAAGCTTACGGGATGCAACTACTTCTCGTGCTTTGATTTTACTAAAGGATACTGGCAGGTACCTATGGCCAGTCAGTCGAAAGAGCTCACGGCTTTCTCATGTGAATCTGGCTTGTACCACTTCAATTTTATGCCCTTCAGCATCAAGACTGCGCCGGCAGTATTTAATCGGTTAATGCGAGTCGTCACCGAGGGGATTCCCAATGTGCTATATTACTTTGACGATGTGCTCGTCGCTACTGAAACTTGGGAAGAACACTTGGTAACCCTAAAGAGATTGTTTGAGCGCGTCAGAGCGGCTCGTCTAACTATAAAACCAGCGAAATGAGCGGTCGGCTGTCCGACTACCACTTTTTTGGGCCACACTGTTGGGCAAGGTAAGCTGCAGACAAGTAAGAGCATTACTGATAAGATACGAGCAGCTGTGCCGCCAAGCACCAAGAAGGAATTGAAAGCCTTTCTCGGCCTATCAGGTTATTACCGCGACTTTTTGCCCAATTACGCTGAGTTGACACTTCCGCTCACAGAACTTACAAAGAAAGGCCACCCCAATAAGTTATTATGGGGTGAAGAACATGAGAGAGCGTTTCCACAAGTGCAGAATCTATTGTTCACGCAGCCTGTGCTGAAGTCACCCGACTTGCATAAGCCATTTGTTCTACGCATGGATGCGTCTTCGCGGAGCTTAGGAGCAGTATTGCTCCAGGAACACCAAGGCCGTCTGCACCCAGTTTCCTACGCGAGCCGTAAATTACTACCCCGCGAAGCAGCCTACTCCACAATTGAAAGAGAAGGCCTTGCCGTAGTCTGGGCTGTTCGCAAATACCACATTTTTCTCTATGGCAAGCCGTTCACGTTGCAATGTGACCACCAGCCATTGACTTATATTCGTCAGCTAGGCACCTAAATTATCGAGTCCTGCGGTGGAGTCTCCTTCTTATGGAATATGACTTTCACGTGGAACACATTCGTGGTGTGAACAACGTTGGTGCCGACTATATGAGTCGTGCGGCTTTTACCGAGCAGTGACTTATTGCCGTTGTACACAATTTTTTTTATCATGTTTTCATCATAGTGCAATTGGTTTTTTTACATCTAAACTGTGACTTTTAAAGTGTGCGGAACCTTTGTTATATTCGGGAACTGTGTGTTACGTGTGTACAACGTACTGGATGTTGGGGGGAGTGTGGTAAGAGTGCTTCTCACAACCAAAATCGAAACTGGAAGTGAAACCGACAGCGGAAAATAACCGACGAAGACGAAAGTGTGCACGGGGTCAGACGAATGTGAGCGCGTGAGCTTCGGAACAGCGACGGGCAGAGGAAGAACGCGGCCAGCTAGCAAGAGCGCTAGGCGTTGGGCCTCAGGGGACCGAACCAACGAGCGGGTGTCACCAACCCAACCGGGAAGAGCGTGGCATGTTCCTGAGGGGAGTGGCGGTTCCGGGCCGGGCCTGACATGCTGTTCTTGTGGCGGACGAGCGTGCGGGCCAGGGCAAGCGGCTGATCCTGTCCAGACTCGGGTCCGGCACAACCAGTCACCGAGATCGTGGCCACGGTGCCACGTCAGAGCCGGTCCGGCACAACCGCCAATTGAAGGTGCTACCTCGGTGTTGCGTCGGCCGCAGCGTGGGGCCGCCTGGTCCAGCACGAGCAGCTGATGGTCTGCTCGTGAGCTCCCGTGCACTTGGCAACCTTCCCGTGGCGAGGTTGCGTCATCGACGCCATCGTCTTCAGCGGGAGCGTGAGTGGCACCCGACGGAATTAGACTTCCGAGTAGTGAAGACGCGTGGGTTACTCGCGGGCGCGTAGACATAAGGACTGTATGACTGAATTATGGAGCCAGTGTGTTGTACAGATAGCCATAGTGTTGTGATCGTTTGTGTGTGAAGTCAATAAATGTTTCTCTTGTCCTTGTCTTGGGTTTCTGCGTCTGAGGGCCCAAGAACCACCACAGCGTGGTTGGGTCAGTCGCCAGAAACTCGAGGGGTATGTCGCATACATGCACTACATAACATACAGCGCCTGTTTTGTATGTCTCTTTAGTGTTCTGTTATTGCGTTGTTGGGGTGTAACCCTGTATCTGTGCCATGCAAAACTTGGGTGGTCTATCAGTTTCCGTCGGTCTGTAGTATTGTCCATGTAGGGCTAACCAGCAGGTGCACTAAAACCGTTTAAAAGAGCGCCCTATAGCACTAGCTTATGGCAGGGGGGAGTACATGCCATTTCCATTCAGGTTATTCAGAAGTGTGTGCTCAGTTTTTTTGTAGGACGAAGGTGTTAGGGTGAGTGAAAAGCGAAAGGGCACGTGCAATCCTGGAAGCCTCATACATAGAAAGATATGGTCCATATATGGGCGTCAGCGGAGCATCCGAGTATATTATCAAGAGTTTTAAAGAGTTTTATATTATTGGGCATATATTCGATGAAAGACCACATAATCACGTGTTTATGAGCCGATGGTCACGGGTTTAATACCGGCTACAGTGGTCTCATTTCGATTTAAGTGAAATGGCAGAGGCCCGTGTAACGTGCCACGTCAGTGCACACTAAAGAAAACCAGATAGTCCAAAAGTTCGGTGCCCCGCTCTATGGCGTCTTTAAAAATCATATCGAGTTTGGGGACGTCAAATCGCAGAGAATAATTTTATAAGCTTTAATAATAATAATAATAATAATAATAATAATAATAATAATAATAATAATAATAATAATAATAATAATAATAATAATAATAATAATATATTATATATTATTATTATTATTATTATTATTATTATTATTATTATTATTATTATTATTATTATTATTATTATTATTATTATTATTATTATTATTATTTCGCGCATTATTTAGGAGGCAAGCTTGTGCGATTTCAATGAGTGATTTGTTAGTTTAGTTTGTGTTCGTCCTGTTTAC